GGGGAGGGGGGGGGGTCTAGAACTAGAGTGATAATGTTATTTTATCAAGTATTGTCAGTAAATATAAGGCATAAATAATAAGGCTTATTATCAATCGATGAGTTAGATCTAGAGTGGGCAGTCAATCAAGCTTTACTTACGACATCACTTGTCTTGTTTTTAGAAAGCTTCTTCGCCATATGTCTGGCCAAAAATACTCTTTTTTAAAATACGACCACATGAATATATTCCGGAGGTTAGCTTCAAATTCTTGTATAAGATTGATTTCAACAATACGCGAAATGGTTTTACATGAAGATTGGACGCGAGAGTTACTTCCCATGTCTCTAAGAGTAAACAATTCCGTAACGATTCAAATTCGCATTTTTTTCCTTAACGTTTTGGTGTTTTTTTTTTACGAAGCCTTTTTTTTATCCACCATGTCTTCTTGATTCATATTATGCTTGCATAAAAAAACAAACTACAACAAACAAAGAAAAAATAAATAAAAGAAAAATAATCAAGATAGACAGCCCCAGCATATATTAAAAAAACAAAACATTATTAGTAATAGTAGCCTACATATCGAAAAAAGTTCCCCGCACTAAAACCGAAAGTGTTTTTTAAAATTCTTTCAACAATAAAAATAAATAAAAAAAGGAAGAAACCCAACCACATGGTATAATACATAGGCTACATTACGTGTAGGCGGGTTATTTTATTTTTTGTATTTTTGTACTTTCAAGTAGTTTTTAATTGATCAATGTGAAAAAATGTCTACAGCCTAGTCAAAAGACTACAGTACTCGAATACACTTTTTACGACTCTAGCTATAGTCTAGGATGGGAGTTCTGTATCCATGGGGAGATGCTGCAACGTTCCCTATACATGCATTTTCTTCAATGTTAACTTTTCTGCAAGTACATATGGGTACTTTTGGCAGAGACAGGATATAAGTGAAAGTTGTGTGGTTCTCTGCTCACACTAAGAAAATTTCATTTGTCTCACGGTTGTAAACGTGTGGCTTCACTTGGCAATGAAGGTGAAGAGAGATGACTTGCTTAATTTTTATACACGAAGCCAATATGTGACAATGTGGACATTTTCTTAATGAGCACGGGACTTATCAATCATCAGCTGCCATTTATGCTTAGATCTGAAATCTGACAAAAGGAATTACGGTGATATTTGTTACAATAAC